GTAGTTTAACTTTGGATGTTGTTCGCATAACCGCCGGAGATTAAAGTATGCCGATAGAATCCCGGAGCCGCCTGTTTCACCTGCCAAGTTATTGGACCTCCCAATAGAGACGGTTATGAGATTATGCCAAAGTATCGCAGCCATCAACAAACTTTCCAAAATTTTTGTTGTAAAGGTAAGAGCTTACGGAGGTGTCTTGGCAGAAGTTTTAGGGATGATTATTGGTGAATCAATCTTAACTGCTGATATTCTTGGTATTCAGAACTATGAGGATCTAGGAGGTAGAAAGCGCTAGTTATATACATATCTGAGGTAGCCAGACTCTCGCTTTACTTTCCAAGAACAGCATCACGGAATATGCTAGTATCCTCCATCTGGTAGTAGAATATAGAAGCACTTTCCATACAGTGCTCCATTGTTCCCCTACTCGTCATAAAACCACCTGGAAAGTTTTTCCTTCACTCTCAGTGATCATTACCCTTGTGCATCGTAATCCTAGCCATACCATCACAACAATTTTAGCTGCGAAGTCGAACGTATTTTACATCGAGGCGGATGATGGGATGTCTCCTGTCTGCCAACGCCATTACAGTTGGTTGTCTTCGAAGACATTTTATGATGGTTAAATGCAAAGTTACTTTGTTCTAATCATTACAGATTTGGGCCAAAAACTCTGACTATTTTTACCTTGGAAGGCTTGTGTCGACGCTTAGATACTGCACTAGAAATGAGTGTGGTTGTCATTTATATATTAGCACCAGTGGGAGTACGAAGGCTGAACACCTGTCAGTAGTGTCCTCTACGAGTCTAGGAGTGAAATATCCTCCCAGGGCCGAGATTCAGTCACGAAAAAGGGTTGGATGAATTTTATTTGATAGATTGTCGGCTTGAAGGAGTTGTACTCAGTAATTTGGTCGACAAGCGTGTCGACGGAGATTTAACAACCGCACGAAAGTCCAACAAAAACTCATCACCACCAACTTACGATTCATAAATGAGCCTAGGTCTGTCTAGGAAATGTATACTAACACCCGATATCTCTATACGCCATTATATATTTGCAATAGAGTATTTCTCGGTCTATCCTACACCTGCGATCCAACTCCACACTCGTTACACCAAATGCCTACACACGCCCTGGTGTTGAAAGTCATGATGTAAACGGAGCATGTACAAAAAAATCTAAATAGGAGTACATGTCCAGGGGATCACACAGATCTCCGATGACGACAACGACCCAACGTTACGATGAGGAGATGGAAAGCTATAGCAACGCTGGGATCGAGGACGACATCTATACTTCGGAGTCAAGTAAGATACCAAGGGCTTGGGTGCGTGGTGGCGGAGGCCGAGGAAAATTTTGCGCTACAGCGTACATAGCGGGTTTCTATACGGTCAGGCTTGGAATGATTCGACACATGGGTCAAATCTGAGGTAGTTCGGTCGTTCAGGTGGGATGAGTTTTATTGTACTTATATGGTAGTTAAACTGGTTCATCCCGACCCAACTAAAGCTCTAGGTCTCATTGGAGTGTGGAGGGCGCCAATTTTCACGTACGTCAATCTACAAACTAGCACTACCAACGCCAGTCTATTATCTAAATGAGGGAAGCTGATGGTCAAATGAAAGCCTGACCGTCAGGAAGGGTGTGGAGAGTAGCCAGGAGGTTCTTATCGGCCACTTAATACTCGCAGTCCTCGGCGCAGTCTAGCATTTTACTTACCTACACACTAATAAATGCCGCGACGATACCAAGAGAACATGTTCCTACTGTAAAACAACAAATCTTCCGACGAGAATCTAGATTTTTCTGAAAATGCGATGGTGTAGTGAACACATTGAGACTAGTTAATGCCCACAGGAACATACATTCCCCAGAGGCGATAACCCCACTAGTTTACATCGGTACCTACCTCGAGCAGCAAAAAGTGAAAATTTCCTATCAGGGCTCAAGAGTCTAGCTGTTGCTCCTCTAAATCCAGAGAAAATCGGCTCGTTGATATCGCAGGTTACACGCAGTAGATATCCGGACCGTAGATGGTAAGAGCAATCTCATTGATCCAACGTGCTAGAGATGCTTTGCAGGAAATGAAAATAGGGGCAAAGATTGAACACCTGTACGCGTTGACCTCTACGAACCTGTGAGTGAAGTATTCTCTCAGAGCCAAGTTCAGTCAAATTTTGCAACAACAAAAAAGTTGGCCCAGGAGGCTAAGATTCAAGACTCTCGACCAAATCAATCGATCCCGCCCAATGAGACAGGTTCTCACCATAGACTCAAACAGGCTTCAAATACAACCTTGAATATTCTCAACTAAACGACCAAAACTGTTTTCTAATCAGTCTCTGGTCTTAAATGACCTCTACAGACACGCTCGCGAGTATACGAAAGCCCGTTGGAGGATAAATCACGGTGCACAAATCTGGTTTGCAGATTTTTGGCATGGGAGTGAGAGAAATCAGAGTAGTATGGCAAGATGATGTTAGAGATGGATACAATCATTGAAGGGCCTGATCTCGATTTTTCGAAGGGCGTCCTTCACATTGAGCATTGAGCACTACACGACTTTGAGAGAGCGCAGGCGACCACATTTCTCGGAGTGATGGTGTATAGGCGACAAAGACATGCTTGGATAATCAAAGAGTTTGAATTTCGCTTTCGTGGGTACTTACGGAGGAGGGTCGACTAAATGTGTAAGCAAACATGTCTCATAGTGGTATTTGCGAATGAAATCCAGAGTATGAGTGTCTTTAATATCAAAAGAGTCATCCAGCATGTATACATTGCTCCGATCATGTGTGTAGCAAGATAGCTGAATACACTATAAGTCATTTATAAAACATTATCCCCTGTACGAGCATCCTCCCTTCACGATATATGTATCAGAACAATCTGTAAGAGGTCGACTGTTTGTGTGAGCAAATATAACTTGTAGCGGTGTCTACGAGTGGAACCCAGAGCAGGAGGGTCTCTATTTTGTGATGTTGGAATACTAATATAGTTATACGTTGTGGGGCATAATTATGATGCTTGAGGTGACGTGCTGGTTAAAGCATTTTTGTGGGCTCGAAGAGACGCGATGAGTAACTCACGCAATAAGTGGAAAAAGGTTATACAATAGTACGTGGGTATATAATGCAGGTGTGTGTGTGAACTATGTATCTGTTGTGGTCTAACGCTGTTCAATATGCGGACTTGGGGGACTATTCTCAACACCTGTCAGCGGTGTCCCCTACGAACCTCTAGTTATCACTGTAGAGTCTGCAGAGCCGAGATTGAGTAACAAAGTCCTCACTTCGATGAGGATCCCCATTCGCTTTTGCCAACTGAATCGTCTTCATCTCTCAACACATTCCCCTGTCACCATTATCATGAAGCTAACCACGATCAGATCAGATGGTAGGGTCGGAGCCCTACTCATCACCCACCCTTGATCATGGAGGAAAAGCCATCCGGTGAGTTTCCGGAGCGTACCCAGCACCCGATACGGAGATGGAAGATTGGATCAAGTCGGTCTCGACAGTTAAAAAGAAGGGAGATATAGATGAATATGCGCACCTCATGTGGTCCCGGTGTCTAGGCATCGCCCGGCTGGGACTGCAGGTTTTTTGAGACTTTTCCCCGCGCACGCAGTTTCCATTGCTACCATTTTTATTGTTTTTGAGTGGAAGGTTCCGTGGAAAAGGTGGCCGAATTCCACGGGTAAATACTGAGCTGAATGGGCTATTCATCAAGGGCAATTTATCAATGATATTTCAAGTAACAAAAGAGGTAAGGAGCACTGTACAAGGTGTGGCCTGGGTCAGAGAGGAGCCCAATGTGCTAGATAGTCATAGACTCAAGTAATACAATAAGAACACACATACACTCTTATACGCGGATTCATGTGAGTTTTTATTGTTGGCTATTCGGTTTTTTTAAACTTATGAACACGAATCAAGAGATTTCACCAGCTTAATCTTCCAATTAATCCACGACATTAATGCATAGTCCGATGTTAGGGTGTCCTAGAAGACTTGTCTTATCAAGTTAGCACCTTATTTTGTGGCGCTATTTTGTCATATGGGAAGCCTCAAAGACATGTATATATATTGATTTACCGTCATAAGAAGAGCTATTTGTTACAAGATTGAAACGTAGAGCTCTAATCACAAATAGCAAAACCTCGTTTAGCTCCATGATCACTGACAAAAGCTCTCTGCAAAATACTTGTGTCCGTTTTGATTGATTGATAGCTAGCCTTATCACCTAGCTTCGAATAGTGTTATAAATAGTTTTCTTTCATTACATATTAGATTTATTCTCCTAATAGCAAGACGTATAATTGTATCATCGAAGATAGTATATTTGATGACCCGGACAGCAGGTTACACTGTATTCGCACTGATAGCCCGTCAAGTTTTTGCCAGTGAATTTCAATTCTTGATAAATGTTGGTTGTACTGCTGCACAGAGATTCGTCAGGTTGAACTAGTAAGTTTAGAAATTTTGAGATTTTAGGTTGAGGTTCTGAAATAATGATAGCGTGGTCTCCTAAAACATATCGACTAGACAGTTATCCCTATCGGAGGGATCAATTTAATCCTTGTTGTTTAGACCTTTGTATAGACTTCAGACAGCTTGAATAGCACTAAGCTAGAATCGTAGCAGTTGGTTCTGTGTTGGCCAGGTAAAATGTGGCTTGAGATTGAATGTTGATAAAGTTCTGACAGCGGACAATATTTTGGAGGTGTTTCATCATCAAAATTTTGATTGCCATATCTGACGCAGGTCACTTCTAGCCCCATAATAGGTTTGATAGGAAGTTTGTATGACGACCTCATTGAACGTCTTTACTGCTTCGTTCGGAAGCTTCTCAACAGTTGAGCTAGTTATTGATAACAGCCGAAGTTAACTGTTTTGTCTTAATAGTATCTTTCATTTTCTGAGCCAAACTTATCAAACAAACGCCATCCTCTGTGCTAAAAATCCGAAGCCAGCGAGAATTTGTACAAACTGTACTACACCATAAATGATTCGCCACAACCACATTGTTCCTCTACCTGAGTGTTAGCCATCACGCTGAACTTAACTCCTCGGGGTGCTTACTTATGTTGGGATTTTTAAACACAAATCTCTGGCTTAATTTGTCTTGCACCCAATCCATTTCAGACCCGATTATGCTGAAGAGTGCTTTGCCATCTATAATAACTTTCACTCCATCTTGCTCAACTTCCTCGTCGAAAATGCCAGGTTTATCGACGTACTCAAGGTGATATGCTAGGCCACTGCATCCACGATTTCGAACGCCAATCTTGATAAGCTTTGGCGATGGAAGATCGAGAAGAGCTCGAAGTTGTTTGACAGCAGCCTGAGAGAGCGAGATAGCAGCTCTTTTAGCACGAAGTTTCGGTCGAGGTTTGGATCCAACTGGCGTCGGGCGATTCGTTGTAGATGTTGCCGTTTCTTCCTCCCTTCCCGACCGAATTTGGTTAAGCTCCTTGACTAGGCCCAGATCATGCGCATGTTTTGGGCTTTTGTCTGTAAGATTTCTAGAGTCGTTTGACTTAGATGTTGCTCCCAAAGTGGCTTCATCAGATTTTCCAGCCAGATGGGCCTGTAAAAGTTCTGGCAACGTTCCAATTGGATCAGCTGAGCTTGATTGAATCTCACGTTTGTAAAACTCTTGAGAGTTTGAAAAAGTTAAATTTCGTAGTATACGATGGCAAGAGTGTGAGGATAAGATTCCGGAGGCAAGCCTAGAGATATTGGTAGCCGATAAATTTGATGGAGTTAAGATACGATATGCCGCCATTCCTCAGGTCAAAGTACGAAAACTACAGTCTAGTAGAATCCTGAAAGTATCCGTTCTGGAATTAGATGCAGAAAAGGAATTCTAAACCCAGCTTGTTCTGATAGATGTGCGATTGTTGACAACATCAGAGTACTTCAGAATGTGTCAAGACTAGGGCCTATTTGGCCTGACCAATGATATGAGAGACGTTTACAACCACTCTAAAATGAGGCAAGCAGGGCCTATCCTTACTCAGATAGATACTCTTCAACGTGGGTTTCCATCCGAATAACCATATATTGTTACACTTGGTCTCATTCAGCCTCTGGAAATACAGGAGACGTAGGCTCTTTCAGACCACAGGTCTAGGATACCTATATGTCGAGTAGTACGTCATCTTCATTGCCTTCATGACAGTTATCTCCAACATTGCTATTTAATACAATTCCCTATCTGTTCACGAACGTGATGACTTACCGCTCCAAATTTCACTTCTCAGACCAACAGATTAGTGCTAGTTGAATGTGTAGGAACTGGAAATTTCGCGATTATTTCGAGCTTTTTGCTCCTCTGCTATCGTGACATGACTAAACCCTAAATTATGACATCACTTGTATCTTGCAGGACGAAGGCAGAACATCTATTCGCGATGTCCTCTGCGAAACCAGGGATGAAATATACTGCAAAGGGCCAGGATTCCTTTACGACAAAGTGCTACAAGAAAGATTTCATCGAGACGGCGATCTTGATAGGCGGCGTTGGCAAATTTTTGGTCGAAAATCTGAACTTCTGAGATTTCACGACAATACTCTCAGACAAATTCAGTCATCTACGCCCCAGATATGAACTTCATACAGGTTTATAAATCTCGAATGTTCTTATTAAGACACCTGACACTACTCTCTTTGTCAAATTTTCTTGGAATTTCGATTCCATCCGAAAATAGTTCACCGTCTACCAAAGCACCATGGAATCCTAAGTAGGTGAAACTCAACGCCTATCAGTAGTGTCCCCTGCAAACCTTCAGCTCTCACTGTAGAGTCTGCAGAGCCGAGATTGAGCAGCAAAGTCCTCACTTCGATGAGGATCCCCATTCGCTTTTGCCAACTGAATCGTCTTCATCTCTCAACACATTCCCCTGTCACCATTATCATGAAGCTAACCACGATCAGATCAGATGGTAGGGTCGGAGCCCTACTCATCACCAACGCTTAATAATGGGGGAGAAGCCATCCGATGAGTTTCCGGAGCGTGCCCAGCACCCGATACGGAGATGGTGGATTGGATCAAGTTGGCCTCGACTGTTAAAAAGAAGGGAGATACAGATGAATATGCGCACCTCATATGGTCCCGGTGTCTAGGCATCGCCCGGCTGGGACTGCAGGTTTTTTGAGACTTTTCCCCGCGCACGCAGTTTCCATTGCTACCATTTTTATTGTTTTTGAGTGGAAGGTTCCGTGGAAAAGGTGGCCGAATTCCACGGGTAAATACTGAGCTGAATGGGCTATTTATCAAGGGCAATTTATCAATGATATTTCAAGTAACAAAAGAGGTAAGGAGCACTGTACAAGGTGTGGCCTGGGTCAGAGAGGAGCCCAATGTACCAGAAAGTCATCGATTCAAGTTGCTTGACTTCAAAGAAACATCCTAAGATCATAGATACATACTCGCTATCTAAATTTAAAGTGGACCTTCATCTTATCACAAATGTCGTGTGCTATGAAAGTACGGTCGAACTACCGGCCTTACATTCGTCTTTACTTCGGCCAATGGCACCAACAACTCGTCATCTTGAGGCCCTTAGCTAGCAAAAATTCGTAGGGGTCAAGAATGATAGGTTGTATTAATGAAACGGTATATGGATGTGACTAGTGTTTTACGACTGTCCTGTACTTCACTGTCGGCGATACTAGATGCGCGATAGAAATCAATGCAGGCTTGTCGTTTTTCCCTCTTCCCTTCTAAATTACTGACTCGTGCTCCACTATTACCTTCTACTAATTCCTGTTCGGTACCCTTCATATGATGGTGCTCAATCCTCAGGTTATATTCACGCCACCTTTACCACTAGCTACCACTCAGTTATTCCCATGTGTCTCTCTCTACCGTATCCCGCTCATGCTTACCCCTGGTGTCGCTAGGTGATGCCTGGACTTCATCAATCATTGTGGCGCTAAGCGCACGGACGTTCTATGACTTCGGTGTCTGGAAGCTCAATGTCACATTGCCACCGACGAAATCAGCATGGCAGTTCGCCGACATATCATCTTGAACATTTCCTGGAGTGTACTATGCCCAACCGGAGAGAGAAAGAGGTATCTATATTTTACTACTTGGATCTATGACTATCTAGCACATTGGGCTCCTCTCTGACCCAGGCCACACCTTGTACAGTGCTCCTTACCTCTTTTGTTACTTGAAATATCATTGATAAATTGCCCTTGATGAATAGCCCATTCAGCTCAGTATTTACCCGTGGAATTCGGCCACCTTTTCCACGGAACCTTCCACTCAAAAACAATAAAAATGGTAGCAATGGAAACTGCGTGCGCGGGGAAAAGTCTCAAAAAACCTGCAGTCCCAGCCGGGCGATGCCTAGACACCGGGACCACATGAGGTGCGCATATTCATCTATATCTCCCTTCTTTTTAACTGTCGAGACCGACTTGATCCAATCTTCCATCTCCGTATCGGGTGCTGGGTACGCTCCGGAAACTCACCGGATGGCTTTTCCTCCATGATCAAGGGTGGGTGATGAGTAGGGCTCCGACCCTACCATCTGATCTGATCGTGGTTAGCTTCATGATAATGGTGACAGGGGAATGTGTTGAGAGATGAAGACGATTCAGTTGGCAAAAGCGAATGGGGATCCTCATCGAAGTGAGGACTTTGCTGCTCAATCTCGGCTCTGCAGACTCTACAGTGAGAGCTGAAGGTTCTTTTTTTTTAATTCTGTTACGGTTTGACCGCTATTAGAGCTTAGGTGAATACCCAAGCGGATTGTTGGGAATATTTACAACTAAGCGGCACTACTAGTCAGGAGGTTGAAGCATTACTACAACTAAGTAACACCTGGCAATGCGTGGCTGGGTAGCAAGTATTGTGCCTAAGGACAAGTCATCGGTCTGGAGATTGACGAAGGGGACCAATTCTTATAAATACCTGTTAGTCGTAGCTCGAGTTCTCTTTTCTCCTCATATAGTTTAATAAATCGATTTATTCACAACCAACTCGGTTTCCGTCACAAATTCATTTTAATGTCCTGTCTGAGTCTATGACTATGTAGGACATACAGGTCCTCTCTGCCTATAGGCCATGGATTCCTATACCAGTAATATATCCCCTCCTATGCCTCCCATACAGCTCCCCTCAAACAGTACCGCCCGTCACAAGTCCTCATTCGTTCTTACACTTAGAGGAGCCCTTAGTCCTCCATTATCTCCCCTCTCCAGCCAACGAAACGATGGCCATTTGCGGGTGCATGGCAGCCGGGAAAATTGCAAAAACCACTGGGTGCGGAGCTCTCCTAATACCAAAATTAGAACTAAATCCAGAGACATAGTGACCCTACTGAAGCGTTCGAAGAGGCTGGCCAGCTGGGCGCTGCAGACTTGTGTGTACCTCAGAGGATTCACACTCTGCCTTTCTAGCCTCCTTCCAACTCTTTCCCGAAGGTCGTGCCGAAATGTCAGAAAAGTCTTGACAGAGCATGATTGCTGTGTGGTAGCTTAGCCCAACTTATTTTGTACCGTCCAGGGCGCTAGGGAGTGCCGTTGACTCATCGAAAATAGAAGCCCTCCTGGCTAATTAGCCGAAATCTTGGTCTTGGCGCCCACAAAAAATCCAATGTTGAAAACTCCTCGAAATAATCAGTCCCGCCATGGTCTTCAGAGACCTGTTCCCCCTCTCACTCTACATCTCAGCCGCCTATATCTCCTCAAGATGTATAACCCCATTAGAGCATCAGTCCCCCATAAACTGAAACCCCAACTTTGTATATTATGACTTAATTTCCTCCTTGCGGGTATACGTAGTTTCGTAAATTTGTAGTGAGTGATGGCCGGTGATGAATGAGGCAAGCTCCTGTTTGCAATTAGGGTAACGCCTTTATCGGTCGGCGAGGCGAGATGACATGTGGTTAGATCGGGGTTGAGGACCCAGAAGATAATGGTGAGTGCTACATGATTGAGAAGTCGTGAAATGGAGATATGCAAGTGTTTGCTTTCGACTTCGATACGGATGCGATTCTTCTTGGCTGTCCCAGATATGCAGAGCATGCTGAGCGATTACACCAGCACCACTGGAAGGTGAAGAATTCGTCTTTGCCGGCATTCAAACTACTCCACCACGCCAATTCCTCGCCTCCAACGAGTTTGAATCCTACCTAAGTCTCATCAAGTCTACAAGTACGACCAAGTACATCCTCATTCCAATGAACACACCTCTCGTCGACTTTCTCTGGCCTCAGCCGGTCACCAAATACACGCCCACGCCGATATTTATACCCGACGGAGGAAGCAAGGCATGGCGCACAAATCTGGGAGACAGTTCTTTGGGATGGACGTAAGAGGGATCAGGACAAGTTGACAAGATTATGCAAAGCAAGGATTTAACGTCGAAGGGCGTGACATTTTGAATTTTGGCAAGAGTTTTACGAATTCAGCTTTGTGCGCGCCAAGACTTCGCTCGCGAGAGTGCAGATGACACTATAAAAACAAGCAAACGATGGAATGCGTTGTGATACGCCTCCTGGTGATGTTCTCTGGTATAGTTTGAGTAGCCTGGGCACCTACTCCATTTGGGAAAGAGACACCTCAGATCACACATCGCGCGGAGAAAAGTTGATGGATGACGGAGGCATGTCTGGATAACTCAGGGCTTTTGAGATGTTCCCCTGGGTGGGTATTCACGGATGAGGGTTGACTTGGGGTGAAGGAAAAGCCACCATAACTTCGCAGTGGTACTTGCAAATGAAATCCGAGGCATGAGTGCTCTTCTTGTAAATTGAGTCAACTCTTCTGTACATTTCTTTGATATTGTGTCATAGATAGATAGCTGCATACGCAATTAAAATCTGATGCAGAAAAAAGTCGTAGATTTGAATTTAATTTTATTTAGTCCGATTTGGCGGCCTACAGGCTCATGCGCGTGTCTACGAACTCTAATATTTGCATAGGAAGAAACCTTTGTTGTATAAAATCGTCTAAATATTCAATTTGTCTACTCTTTAATGTTTTGTTACCTTCAAGAAGTGCAGAAAGTCGTTGTATTTATAAAGTTCTGCCCAAAAATCGAAATATGATCCCTCTCAAGACTGCACCCACCGTTCGTTTCACCTTTCCTATCTATCCTCATATCTCTCACGTCTATCCCAAATATATGCCTCACAGATTGTGTGCCATGTTATGTTTCCTTCGACGGATTTAAATATCGTTTTAGGCTCATATCAGGAGGCCACTCAAGGCCAGAAACTGGCTTGACGAGACGTCTGGAAATAGATACGAGAGTTTATTCTGTCGTATTTGAAGATTTTGTGAGGATTTGGTGGGAAGATATGTTTTCGAGATTAAAATTTCGAATTGCTACAGAGTGTATGACCATTGCCTTGTGGGCTAACTTTCACGGAATCGCGAAATTGGACTGAACTTGGCACTGGGAGTACATTTCACTATCAGATTCGTAGAGGATACCGCGAACAGGTTTTCGGTCTTTATTCTCCAATTGGGTCATTCTATAAAGGCAGAGGCATCGGTGACTTGGTCTTGAGCTCTACTGCTGATTTATGGCCTCTGTTATTAGGGTTACGACAGCAACGAGGCAAGGCTGGAGGGGTAGATAGTCTCCCAAGTTTATAAGATGGCGAGGTTGGCACTAGGTTCAAGGACAACAACAATGGAAGGAGATAAGAGATGAAACACTGCGGAGATCTAAGTGGGCGACTGGATGAGGTGTCTAATGAAGAGAATGACAACTGGATGAGGTGAGGAGACGCTAGGATGAGGCATAACCAAGACTGAGTGGAAAAGCAAATTTAGAGATTGAGATTGTGTCAAGGGTTCGAGCGCGTGGTGTTCGAGTCCGAGGAGAAATTTGCGTTTCGGCGCGTCAGAAGAGGGTTCTTTGAACGGATGGACTTGACATGTTCAACTCGTGGTCGAAGTCTGAGATGATTTGGTTCATCAGGTGTGAGGTTTATTGTACTTGCGCGGTCGTTAACCTGACCCAGAGCGGCCCGACTCGAGCTCAATATCTAGTAGCAGTAGGAAGGGTACCAATTTCCTAGCGTGTGAAAATGCATGCATACAATATATCTACTGCTAAAGCTTTGGAAGCGGTCGGCCGGCAAAGCGCTGATAATCAGTGTATACCTAGGAGAAGGACACTCCGTATCATGGACTGCTCTTCTTCTCCTTCAATAATTCATGCCCAAGGATAAACTATGAGTTGCAACGAAAATGAAAAATTTAAACAGATAGTCTGATGTGTATAAGCAAGGACAAGTTCTTGTCTTCTTAGATAGTAAAAGGTGCTGCAGATTCATTGACAACAATGTCCTCCTGGCTAGTGTTGGGCACAATCTCATTTCTGCAAACTAGACGGCCAGAACTGAAGGTTTGTGAGGGACACCGACGGCAGGTGTGGAGCCTTCTTATCTCAAAAGTCATGTCTCGCATGCATGATGTGACATTTTTCAGTGTATTTAAGTATTGCATGCAGCTTAGGTCGAATCAGGCTAGTAAGTGAACTTGAGGAAAAGAGGCCTGAGATTTTTAATGTCGGTTTAGTAACCCCGACCACCACGATCCGAATTCGACGCTGTCACGGGAGATTATTTGTTCATTCGCGGGCCGCATTTGGCAAGCTCTGGAGCAAAATAATTTAAATTCTAGTCGCATATAGTAGACACCCGGGAAGCAGACTTTGTATGCGCTCACCTGTCAGCAACTCCTGAACTTGTCAGAATGATCTGAGAGATGGAGCCATCACCTCTCACTCTACAAGCGCGTCCGGACGTCTTCCAACAGAAAGTCGTATCTCTTTACCAACAACTATTCAAGGTGATAAAATGGGTCAAACTTCAGGATACAGAGGTTGATATAGATAGGATGAGGACGAAGTCGAGACGACTGAGGGCTTCTGGAAGGAATTATTCCTCTTGAAACCAGACAAACCAGCGCTTCTGCAACTGATTGATTCCCTAAGCCCAGAAGACCTGCTACAATTTCAGGTTTGTCATTTGTTTCTTTTATTGCTATAAGTTATTGTTGTTAACAAAAACCATAGACTCAGACACAAGAACTGTTCACGAGAGGCATAGGACACATCCAGCTCGGAATCGCTCCTGGAGATTCAAATGCTCTAGATGTAGGTCGGAGTTATGACCCACTAGTTTATCGTCGAAACTGAGAGAACAGACGTGTACTGCATTCCTAGCAGCTGTTTTATCAAAGAAATATACCAACCCTAGTTCCGACATAATTAATATATTGGCTGGCTTTGATCAGGTTGATGCAAGCTTGTCAGACTTTGTAGCTGCTCTTGATCAAACCATCAAGATGGGAAGATCTTGTAACTATTCCGCATTTATGTTTTATTATACTAATATAGTAATAGTGGATTTGCGTCTTAAGGCTATAGAAGCCGCACTTTCAGTAGTCTCAGGCGCATATCAAACAAGTCTTCTTTCATATTTCACGCACCGTGACCTGTTCCCTTCCCTGATGAAGGTATGAAAAACTTCAAATTTGGAAGGCGAAGTTGATTGGTTTAGTTTGTTCAAGAATCCCAAACTTTATCGCATCCAGTCGGCTCCTTCATACTTCTTGGGCTGTTGGCGAATTACAATAAATTTGAGATACAAAACCCATACCAACTTCGACTAGACGACTTTGTCAATGAAGTAACGATACAGAAATTAATAAGATCTGTTGGATACACTTGTGCCAGCTTACGTGATGATTATGTGGCCGTCCAGCATGACCTACCAGAAGGATGGTCGATAAGCAATACCTTGAGTATGATAGGGCTAGGTGTCTTAGCTCCTGTAAAACAAGCTACTCCAGCATATGACCCGGAAATCACAAAGGAAATGTTTGCAAAGCTGTACGTGTAGAAAAAATTATTAATTTTGCCGTATTAATTCGCTTATAGACCGGGCAGTGAAGCGGCTATTTTATTAGCTACCTATGATTTTGTGTACGCAAACAAGCTCTTTTGTCTAAACTTCGTTTCTCTTGGTGCTGAGAATGGTCAAGAGAACCCAATAAGCAGTTTTCTTTCCCTCGCTTCGTACCTTCTTCAGCACGCCCACACATCAATTCGCACGGCGCAATATTCTCACCTCAGTCTCCTTATAATCTCACTTTTGGTTGAAGATAAAGCTCTTTGTGAGCGTCTTTGTGGTGAAGACACCAAGACAGCTGTCAGATTATGTCGTCAGAGATCTCCATATTTACCACATGTACCAGGGGAAAGAATAATCGCGACCAGTATATTAGATACGATGATAGATGGCATCAATCATAATTTAAGAAGACGCCTCGACGTAGATCTTTACATACTATGTTTAGGTGTCATTTCTCGGATCATATCGCAACTTTCGCGATCACGATCCCGTCTAAAATACCACTGGTCGGAGCTTTTCAGGTCGCTACTTTCTCTCGTTAGGTTTCTTACGACATATACAGCAGATCTGAAGAGCTCAAATTATATCGAGAAACTACTCGATGATCTGGTGAATCTTTTAGCCTTATCGCTCTCTGCTGGAGAGTCGTTTTTGCCGAATCCCGCATCATATGATGACTTGTTTTATAAAATTGTCGAAATGGGAGAGGTATTGGTTAAATTCCGGGACAACTATGAACTTGAAAAAAGGCCCACAAACTCAATTGATACTCTGATCAATGTTAGCACTCATTACAATCAGCTTTTACAGGATGGAGCATCGGGGCGTAGAGGGAGTCAGTTAACAAGTGCACAAGTAGCCGGTGTGATCAAGCAGGGATACGAAACATTGAGCATACAAGCTAAAGAGGGTTTAGACAGCTGGACTAAGTACAGGGAAGCTGAAAAAAAGGCGTTTATGAAGAAAATAGCCCGATGTGTGGTTACAGATATTAAAATCTATATTCGGGTAGAACTGATCAAATGAGGTAATCTGATTAATCGCGTGGTGGGGATATGACTTGCATGGGTCGATTTTTTTTTGTAGCCGCGCTCACCTGCAGTATAAGCTTGGCATAGACGCAGCTCGTAACGAGCTTCCGCCAATCAAAGGATACACGACAGGAATATGAAACAGATATGGCTTCATATCCCCTAGAATTTATGTCCGCCAGACGAAAAGCTGGTGTATTTCCACTCTATCTACCTTAATATTTGGATCCATGAAATTAAAAGAACTGGCTATGGCTGTCAAGGAAATATGAATACATTGGTGGAGTTTTAAATTTCCCAGGAAGTCGGTGCCCGCAATACTCAGCGATACGCCGTGCTCGCTAATAGGAGAGAATTGAATTATGTTTGAAAGATAAACTAGGTGTACAACTTTGGCGATACGCGACCTTTGCCATAGAAGCTCGAAGCTTACTCCTTCTCACCGAATTCCTCATTCTCTGATTGGGGTTTGAAACTTTAAGTATTAATCGAAGGCAATTTCTAATTGGGTAAAGGCGCAACAATTTTAAAAAGCAGCTCAACGAATTACTGGCAAACAAGAACTTCTCTGTCATTGTCAGCTGCTTGAATGTAGGATTGCTAGGTTAGGGGAAATCTTCCAGATAGTTTTCGTTGCATTAGCGCCACCGACGCTGGAATCAGCTAATTCATACTCGCGTGGCTAAACTCATTCCCAACTTCTTGTGATTCTACCGGGTGCTTGGCCTGGAAACGATTGGGCTGTTCTCTTCACCCAACATTTTTATCCCTGGATGAGTTCTATCATCATAACGCCCTAGGGGCTATTTCAGAATACACAATATCTGCCTGCAGCCGATTATTCTTTGTTTAAGTCGAATTATTGTTGAATTTAGATTGAATTGTTCGTGTGCATAGGCTAGCGAGTCTATGCCGTTTCGAGCCTTGAAGAAATTCACTGCCGAAAACCCAATATCTAGTCAAGTCAGATCTGGTCTATTGATTCTCTCAATAGTTTCCCTCATAAGCATTGTCCTTCACAAACCCATTCTTTACCTAGCATGCCTCATATACCTGAGTTTGAACCCCTGAAAGGCTTCTCGATCACATTATCATTTAACAAGTGAGGGTATCAAAGATAACAAAAGTACAAAACACCCCACTCCTAACGGCACGAACGACGCAATAATTTCTTTCCCTCTTGCGCTACACTAAAAAATACAATGTCTTCACGAAAAATATGGGAAATAAGATCACGGATGTCTTTGTCAGCAGAAAATCGGAGGCGTAGCGCATATCCCAATATTCCTATGTCACTAAATATTGGAACTAACAAGCAAGAAGATTTCAACTTACTACCAGATAACTTACTCGCGACTCCTCCATATCTCGGACTTCGAGCTCGACTGTCCCAGGTATGGGTTAATCAGTGGACAATTCTCTTACTGCTCATCCTTTGCCGTCTTCTACTAGTTACTAGAGATATTCAGAGTAACACCGAAACAGCCAAGGAGGAGGCATTGCAGGCATGTACAAGTGTAGAGAGTATTGGGAGTGCTATGGCTTCTATGCCTCATTATCTTTCATCCGGGGTCAACACACTCACTGCAAATACGATTACGCACACTGTTAATGGCCTCATGGATATGATGCTAGATAGCCTTGACGTGATGTCTAACATTCTCCTATTTGTTATCAACATGTTCACGCAGACCTACGCATGTCTAATTACTTTTGCCATCACGGGGAGTCTATCAGCTACAATTGAATTAATTGAAAAGGTTGGCAACTACTTAAACGAAACCGTCGGCTCTATTACAACATCTTTAGCGAGCGATACAAAAGAATTTCAGGATGTCCTAAACGATATGCTAAAAAAAATACAAATACCCCCATTCTTAAGCGGCACAAGGACAATCCCTAAAATAGACTTGTCTAGATCTATAGATGCTCTTCATACTATCAAAATTGATCCCTCTGTATTCAATGCGGAATTAAACAAGCTGAATGCTTCACTTCCAACTTTTGCTGATGTTCAGAATTTTACCAGTGATGTCATCAAACTACCATTCACGAAATTAAAGACTCTCGTTAACGATTCAAGGCCGCTTTATACCTTTGACCATAATATCTTTTCAGTAGCGCCAAAGAAAGAATTGACTTTCTGTTCTGACAGTAATACAATTAATAATTTCTTTGACGATATCACTTCTTTGATTTTGAAGGGTAAGATTGTGCTAAGCATCTTTCTTAGCATACTTGCGGTATTGCTTGGAATATTTATGGCCTTCAAGGAAGTCAGAGTATGGCGGAAGCTTCAAGATCATTCTCACTTTATCACTAATCACGCCCAAGACCGGCTAGACCTGATTTATATTTCCTCGCGCCTTCAGACCGCAACGGCTGGCATCCATATAGCATCAAAATTTTTTGCAACTCCAAAGCGGCGTAACCTTGCTCGCTGGTTCATAGCTTATATTACATCATTTCGGGCGCTGTTTCTCCTTTCACTTGGATTTTCTGGGCTATTCAGTTGTTTTTGTCAATATGTGCTTCTACAGAGTGTCAAAAAAGAAGTGCCTCAAATCGCCGAGGAAATTGGAAACTTTACTGGAAAAATTGTTCATTCTCTCAACGATGCCTCAAAGGAGTGGGCCGTTGACGCTAACTATGTTATAGAAGGTATGAATTCGAGAATCAATAAAGATGTACTTGGATGGGTCCAAGTAGGAACAAGTGCTGTTAATATGACTGTAGACATGTTTACCCTCAAGATGAACGAGGCGCTAAATACTACGTTTGGCGGAACAGTTCTCTATAAGCCTGTCCTAGAAGTTATGAACTGTTTGGTTGGTCTTAAGGTTGCTTCTTTTCAGAAAGGCCTCACATGGGTTCAAGAACATGCTCATGTCAAACTTCCAGAGCTTCAACCAGACGTCTTCTCAATCGGTGCCGCAACTAGCCTCGCATCTCCGAATTCTTTTCTTGCGTCACCAGGGAGTACTACGAGTGATAAGGTCACATCTGCAGTCGAGAAGGTTATAAAAAAGCTTCAGGATGGTATCAGAGTTGAAGCTATTATATCATCTGTCCTAGTCATGCTCTGGCTCGTTTTAGTATTAATGGCACTTTGTCGAGTCCTTGCTGCGGATTCAATGAAGGATTATCCGCGCCATCAAATAGACCCGCCTGACTATACTGATCAGAGTCATGACATCCCGATGAAAATCCGTCGTCCACAGAAAAGTTTCGTTAATCTAGGGGCCGCACACCACATGGTTGATGCCATGAGTAACGCCAACGATAAATGGGATCACGACCTAGAGAAATATGGTCAGGTTGCAGAACACCAGTGTGTCACAAGCCCTGGGTTTGTGCGAAAGAGTAGTCATGGCTCAATGGCCGAAATCAAGCTTTGACAATTCCGAGATTCCTCCATTGATTTCCTATAGTTCTCATACATGACTAGCCTCGTATGACTTGCGTTAGCCGCGTGATTTCTAGCCGGCCCCCGCCCCAGTTCCCGATCTCATGATGTGGGATTAGCCGCCCTAAGGAAGTAGGTACAGACTCGCAAGGCCGTTTGAACTACATGCAAGCCCCTAACATGTGAAGCAACCTACATAAGACCGGCCTACTTTTGTACTATGCTTAAGCCAGCAAATGGTAGCATCTAAATATTTCTCTACAACGATTAGAGTCACGCGGTAATTTGAAGTGATCGCCACTGTTATAAGAGCTAACTGGCCGTGCAGCATCGGCTAGTGAACCACAGAAGGGGATAAATTCAAAACGGCTTATAATCCTCAGTCTTCCGATCCAAATTATACCTCATATATCCTAAATTACTATATTATGAGCTAGTTAGCTCGCCTTTTTGCGAGTTGAGGCCTTTGGTTTTGCTTTCGTCTTTTTCTTGGCATGATTATCTTCCTCAGACTCCTCCGCCTCCCGATTGCGTTTTTTTGTAGGCTTCTTCGCTGCTGGCTTTTTTGGCTGCTTAATATACTTGTCTTTCTTGAGGTCCACTCCAGCCTCCTCTTCGACAGGGTCTGCTACGAAAGCTCCGTCGTCTTCTTCCTCGAATGCTTCTTCTAGATCCGGTGCTTCTTTAGTGATCCTGGTTGGCATGGCGACGTTACTAGCTTTCATAAAGGGGAGTGGATGTTTTCTCTGGTTGTAGCTAGAAGAGGATACAAGGTCAGAAGGATATCATAGGCGAGGGAGAGCGCGGGCTCTAAAAACTTACATTCGCGTAAAGGTAGATTTAGTTTGAGTGTCTATATGAACTTTCTCGAAATCTTGAGGTCCAATGCCGAGTTCTGTGATATAGTCAAAATCGTCTCTGGTGAGGAAATAGCTATCCATCAAGTCGATCACTTCGCCGACGCATTCTTTGCCCTCATTCTCAAGCCGCTTGACAGTCTCAGCCCAGAGAACTGGGAGATACTGCTGGCGAATCTCATGCCGGGTTCCGGCCGTACGGAGACGCATATGTGCCTGTATTTCTTTGACGTAGCGAGCAAGCTTTTGATATTTACTATTATTACCGAGCCATTGTGTAAACGAAGTCCGCCCTGTCATGACGCCCGAAACAAAGCTGGCTGGTCTTATGGCACTAAATACGGCATGAGTGGGCATGAGACTCCACTGTTGCTGAGATCCATGAATCATTCGATCCACCAAATCGCCATCGCTTATACTTTGGGCAGCATCGTCAATAAGCTGTAGAGCTTTTAGCTGTGATTTTTTCCCCACATATTCATTGACTAGAAAAGGTTTTGTGCTGAGATAATTCTCTTGGACCATCAAATAACTGAACTCGTGATCGTTGAAGTAAAGCTCAATTTTATCATTCAGAGTAGCCTTACTGTTTGGAGTAAAAAGACCACCACCGAGTAACTTATGACAAATATCCCAGGGCTTCAAGACAACGTGTTTCTCCCAGGCTTTGGACATTACTTTGCTCTGATCATAGTCCATAGCACTCTGATCTAATTTGGCTGCAGAAATCATGTTGATAATCTGTCTGATGTCTTTGTTGCTACCCTCAATAAGAGCATCCATAACATTTGGTGCCATCTTAAGACCCTCTCTATGACAAATAGTTGCGACTCGTGACCGAACCTGCTCGACTGTAGGTCTTCGGAAGGGGATATCACAAGTGATTATATCAAAAGGCTTCATTTTAGGTTGCTTTCGTTCATTGCAGATCAAAATCATAGGCACATTTGTCTTCCTACAAACTTGGGCTAAGGCGCCTACACCACCTCGGTCACCAGCTGACATACCGTCAACTTCATCCATAATTAAAAGTATGTTTTTCTTGTCGTCACTGATTGGCTTTCCATGGCCTGAAAAGTAACCGAAGAGAGATTTATTGTTCATGACCTCGCTGAGTCCAGATTCTACTAATTTTTTGCTTCGGGTGTCACTAGCATTACCCTCAATGACATCGTACCCAGCAAGCTTAGCTGCCAGGTGAGCAGCTGTTGTTTTGCCGATTCCTGGTGGTCCATGAATCATAATAGTACGGTAGCCTCCAAGACCATCAGGACCTCTCTTCTGGAAGTTATACTTATGCGCTAGCTGCCACCCTTTCAGCCAGTTTTGTATCTTTTCCACAGCTCCTTTATTTCCACAAATTTGGTTCATGGAAGTAGGGGCATACTTGCTAGTCCATAGTTGTGATAATGGTAATACCTGCTTTTGGTTTGATAGAATGGTGCCAGGTACTTTTGCTGCTGCCTCGGCTTCTTGAATCATTTTTTTTTCTTGCTGTTCCATTTTTTTAGATTCAATTTCAATTTTCTCCATCTCTGCTTTCTTCTTAGCTAGGTTTTTTTCGGCAGCTTTGCTATCGCCCCCATTACTAGGCATCGCACGTATAAGTTCAAATAACCCATCTTCATTTATAGATTTTAAAGAGAGCTCTTTAATTTTTTTTAGCTTGCTAGGGCCAGCTTCGTCTCCTAGAACCACGAAACTTGTTCTGCGACTGGGGGCACCTGTGACTTTTCCTCCATAACGCTTTATGAGTTCCTGAGCATCTTCCCGGGCTAGCGTATCTAGCATGCCAGTAAAGACAAACGTGAGACCGGCTAAACAGTTTTCTTGACCCTCGGGTATTTTTTTTGTACCATCTGCAAGAACCGGTCCATTGTTCCCTTCTGCTTGTGCATTCTTCCAATTCCACTTAGCATCGGGATCTTTTGGTGGGGGTGATGGTGCACGGATTGTTGATATACTATCTAGGATAGCCTGAACCGACGAGGTTTCAGTTTCTTCGTTTTTTAGGGCCTTTGAGTTTTTTTGTATTTGAGATTTCTGTTTTACGGGTTTTACAGATTTCACACTCGTGTTAAAATCTTGATCATCAGATTTGATCTCGACAGATGCTTGCTTTTTGCGACTAACAATTTTGTCGGAAGGCTCAACTCTTAGAGTATCATTTTTCGTTTCAGCAATAGTATTGGCAGAGCCTTTATCGGCACTCTTTGCCTTTCGAGTCGCGTTTTTGGCTGCTGTTACTACAACATTTCTCCTCGCATCCTTTTTAATTTTGGGGGCCTCTTCATCATCGCTAAGAATTTCAATGCACATACTTTCTTTTTTAAGCCCATTACTTGATCTTGTCTTGCGACAACCATCGCTTTGATTCTCGTGTCTTTCATCCATTATCTTTGTGTCTTGGTCATGAGTTCGTACAGGCGAAATCACATTGCTTTGACCTTGTGATGTCTCCTTTGCGTCAGCTCCTGAAGCATTGGCCATTTTTTGAATCATATTGATGTTCCCTGAATTGTTTTTAGAAGCAAAATAGTCAGAGGTTGATATTGCTATAGCCTCAGAATTCTCATTTTTACTAGAAAAGCGCAGTGAGTGCAAATCACTATTTGAATTCGTTGTAACTCACGCTTTCTTCCTTCTTGGCGGGCAATCTTTGAGCAATTTTCTATTACTGTTAGAATTTAGTCTACTGAGTTGTCAAAGATTATAAGTAGGTTACCAACTTGGGGACTATTTCATCGTCATCATCGCTATCTTCAATTACTCTACGACTTTCTACAAAAGATGTTAGACATAAATTCTTCATAGAGAATAAGCTTTGTTATACTTCGATTTTTGTTCAATTCTACCTGCTCATGTTCTGCCGAATTAGTAGGAGGCTGGCCGCCGAAAAACCTCCGGATATCTGCTGGCATATTATATTGTCGTGAGGCACAATTGAAAACTTAAATAAGCTGAGATTATAGATTCCAAACTTGATTCATCTCCCTTTCTTTTTTATGCTAAACATATGTAAGAGGTGTTAATGACAAGCGCGACGCGCAAATGTGCCAGGGGCTAGATAAAGGGCGTTTCAACTTGGTGAGAGCTGGTAAATAAGCCGTGATATGAAAACCATGAAGACTGAGGACAGGTTTAAGATACCAATATTGGCTTAAGATCCATATCAATTAAAACACACTCACCCGTTTGTAATGAATACACAGTTATTGCTTGCTAACTCATTGTTTACAAGAGCAATAATAACATCACCTGACCTATTATCACGTGGGCGGTGAAAGAAGGGAAGCCTGTCTAGTTTGGCAGTAGGCGAATGTCACCAACAGGCCTGAGTTCTGGTTCGCATAGCTTCGTACCCATTGGTATTTATTAATGTATTCAGCCATCTAGTTACTAGACATTACCAGAGCTATCCGTACTTAGCTGATCATTACATTGGATTCAGAATCAATCACAACCTAGAATTCTTTCTCAGATATCACTATGATAAATTTTTGCTCACGCAGAACAGCCGAGCCGCCTCCGTAATTGCCCATTCAAGGGACCTTACAAGATCTTCAATTGTCCAAGCTTACCTTCCTCTCTCATACACATGAACTCCGCTAGAAATCTGATTCACTGGTGCTGAGTTTGAACTGGCGACCCGATTTCTCAATTGGGATAGAGGAGGACTATTCCCAACACCAGTGACAGATGTTGAGTCATAAATTCCAAAATTCCTCACCATGCTATTTTCAAATTGAATCCAGAATATCAATGTCTCTAACGTCAGAAAAGTCATCCAATATGTGTACATAGCACTGATCATGCGTCATAGCTAGATACCTCAATCCAAACAAACTGATAGAAATTTATCATGTAGGTCATGTTTTCATTTTTTCAAGTCATGTTAGCCACCCGAGTCTATTTAAACTACCAAACGTGGATGTCGTGTGTGTGCATGTGACCTACATTATACAAGATCACATGTAACACGTGATTTATTTCATAATCAACATGGTCATTTAGTTTGCGCAACCACATTTACGGAGTAATCATGAAGGTTCAAAGCATATCAAAACTGTCAGCTCATTACAATAGAATTCATAAGTCCACAGCACTCAATCTGTTCCATCTTCTATTAACTCGTCCTACAAGTCTCTACAGAGCTGCACCTACCGTAGCAACAACAACCTGCCATTTTTCAACAACTGCCAATAAAGCTGGTAACTGGCTTCTACCCAGCGTACATGAGGCGAAAAAATCTAGCAAAGGGCGGCCTCGTGTGCCAACAGGTGGTTCATCAAGAGGCACAGAAGTAATTTATGGCGATTATGGACTGAGAATGTGCGATCGCCATCGGAGACTACCTGCTTCAGCGCTTAAGATTGGAGAAGATGCTATCAAAGTTAGACTAAAAGGCATGCGTTATCGACTCTACAAAAGAGTTTGTGCTCAAATAGGTGTCTACACTAAAGGAAATGAGGTACTGTCATATTGGGATAGTTTATGTGTGGATTCTATACTAACGCACGGCAGGTTCGAATGGGAAAAGGAAAGGGCTCCTTTGATTATTGGGCAGCTAGAGTTGCTGTCAGTAAAATAATATTTGAAATAAAGGGTGATGTCCATGAACAAGTTGCGAGGGATGCATTCCGGCTGGCAGGAAACAAAATGCCTGGTATATGCTCCTGACTATCTTTGAAGGCAAATGGGTCCTAATTACTTCCAGGTCAATACGAATTTGTCAAGAGAGGAGATCCCCCAGTCGTTGGCATCACAAAACTTGCAGGCGTATCATTGGAAGAGTTGAAGAAGCCAAGACGAAAAGTTCCTCTACCTATGCCAGGAAAGATATCTCCCGAAACTTCGATTACAACACAATGATCTATAAATCTGATAGGGTTCCTAAAAGAGGCTGATAATATGGTCAAGTTGATTGGTGGCAGTTAGACGTAAAGCCATATGCTTGACTCGATTGACTCTAGATACTATCGTATTCTTGCGGGATAAAACAGGCTTTAGATTTGGTGGCAGCCTCCCTAATTAGAATGACATTTTTAGTGGGAGGGGGCAGGGACATCGGCGGCTGTGGTGTGAAGACTATGCTTAAGAAGCGCCAAGAGACCCAGCCACTCTCAAAAACTGCTGCACGACGATATATTTATTTTTCGTCGTCACTCTCGATAGCCACCTGTGTTTCCTTGAGGATCTATATTTGAGGTTAGGTTAGGGAAAGTAGAATTTATGATAGTTTTCCAACCTCGTCAAGTTGTCTCTTTAGTTGCCCCAGCATATTTTCTTTAATTACTAGTGTCTGGTCATCTAATTCTTCGACAATGTACGCATGACTCGAACTGTCTATCTTGACAATAATGGCTTTTATCGAAGGGTCGCATTCAACAAGTACGCCTGTTCTGATCAACCAAAGGACTGATATTATATCTGTGTTTCTTCCAAGTTACAGAGTCTCAAGACCTCACCTCTAATAGCTCGTGGCATTTTTCCAGATGTATGGAGATGATGCAGTTGACGCGTGTGCACTTATGCACAGATCGTATATCTCCATGAACAATGATGGTCCCTAACCCTGGTACTCGTGATACACAAGGATGGGGTGGCCACATGATTTGTTGTCGGACAATTTAGACGCCCCCCGGCTTACAATCTGCCATCATCATATCACTGCTCTCACAAGAATGCCCTCCAAAAAAATTGACGAGTGGCTCAAGAGAACCAGCCTTTTTCTAGCATTCATGCCATGAGCCGCTTTTCACCGCCTCCTTCCTCTTCATCAAGAGAGAATGTCAAGATTAGTTCTGGCGCAAATTTCAGAAAAGACTTGATTTAACGTTGTAAGAATTACAGACCAGTAATTAACGGTCTATTCGACGTCACTGGCAGGTGAAAGTCACGAACAACAAACCCATCGCCCTGCACCTTAGTTACGCTTCCTCGCTGAATATCTCGAGCGGACATTTATTCTTACGTGCCCTCACATACACAACAATATGGCGTCGACAAACCGCTTCCCTGGTTCAAGAGGGCCACTTCAAATCCTCCAATTATTTTTTATACTATTTGTACGATGGTCAAGGGCGCTACCAGCTCCCAATTCCGACTCATACCCGCCATCAACAACTACATCCAGCAGCTCTGCAACATCAAGCACTCCTGCAGAATTGCGAGATACAACCAGCAACCCAGTGTACAACTATTACTTTGTCATCGTGGCCGTAGTGGCTGCATTTGCTTGTATATTAATCATCTATTTCCAGCAGCGCAAGAAGAGGCAAGCGAACTTTACCCGCCAACAAGTGGTAGAAACTTTCGGAAGAAATAACGGAATTGCTCGGTCTTCTGGAAACAATGGTGGAGTAGCGGCCGAAGATTGTCGATTGCAGAGACAGCAGCCTCAAGAACACATAAGTACTGAGGGCTTAGACGAGCGAGGCGAGGCTCCCCCTCCGTATGCTCCAGCCATAAAACCTCCAAGCACAACAGATGCAGATGGCGTAATATCTCCCCAACAAGTGACCGAAACGGCCGTACTTCCTGTGTATGACGAATCTGTATTTCATACACCAGGCAATGATCATGGAGATCTAGGTCTTGCACGACCAGATGCTTTCCTAGCTACAGAATTAAATATATCGCCGGAAAATACAGGCGGAATGCCCCAACCTTCGAATCAACAGAGAACGATATCTCCAGTGACTTAGATATCGGGATGCTTTCATACAGAATTAATGTACTAGACGAAATGATACGGCTCGGCGTATGGATATAAAGGTTCACTCGTGTTTAAATTTACACGCGGTAAATAAAATATGTGGCATGGCGTTCGGTGGAAAGGGATTTCGTACGAATTATCAGGCTGTGCGCCATACGACCTTCATAAACGTCTGTTTTCATGACCCTTTTTATGCTCCATTTACCACATGTGGGTATGGAGGAATAATGACATCAGATATCATTTGTCTAGAAAATGAAAAGCTAAATATAATCTCGAGCCAATGGTATAAATATCTTGTGATCAGCAATCTGAATGTAGTGAAAAGAGCACTTTACATGCGCCACTGTGTCTTACTTTTCCCAGATTCTGTGCTGCGATTCCGTAACTGATGAAGTTTAGTGAGTTGTAAGAATATACAAATTTTATTTACTTTAATACGAGTTATATTGACCGTAATGAGTCAACTTACTTGGGTATTCACTAATAACTCGCAAGAGATAAGGTTGCACTATGCCAAGAATTAAGTCTACGCTCGACTTCTTTCAAAGAACTTCAATTCAAAAATAGAACCAGTTTTGAGGAATCCCAAGATTGAAACGGTCCTGGCCGCATCGAATCATCGGCCTAAATTTGTTTCTATTTTAACCTTAACCGCCACTTTTTGCATGTGGCACTAGACTGCAAATAAAATCAGGCTGAATACAACGGTCTTAAAAATGACTCCATAATGGGACTTGGGGTTGCTGGCGACGGCGATGAAAAGTCGACTTGTGATGGATCAGATCAGCCTGATAACATCATTTTGGCCACGCCGAAGCGCTATCATCTTGGTGGACCCAGCTACGGCACGCATGAGCTAATACTATTACGATTGTCGCTAAGCTGCCATACCATATCTATGTAGAACTTCTTTGTTATGTTTAGGTGACGCACTAGTCATATTATGCAGGCGTTTAGACCAAAAAATGATACCATTGCCCTTTCTCATCTTTTGTTGTGAGAGCTTCATAAACCTGGCCTATCAATCAACTTTTATAGCTTTGGCAGAATAGTATTGAGTATTGAGCCCCCTGAAATTTCAAAGTAGCCAATCACATTACCGAGATGTACCACACAGCCTCTTTGATGTATACCGATTGTGCTAGTAGGCAACTGGCGAGTTAAAGAGCGTATCTCATCAACTGGCGGGTCGTCAAGGATCGAAAATCCCTAGACACAGTGAGGTCGGAGGTGATGTGCTGTAAACCTTCTTGAGGCCGAGAGTGATCCACAGGAGAAATTCAACATCTCACTCCATCTCGATCTAGTCTTAGCTCTGGGAAGTGATCCTTTTGGAATCCATAGACGTCATGATTCTCAACCATTCAATCTCGGTCTACTAACGGGTACGTGCGAGCTCGTAATTCTTGGGCGTCCACAGACCAGATTCCTTGTGATGTACGTGGTTACTCTCGTGCTGGGCGCGCGTAACGAGAATCAATCTCGGGTCTCCAGGGACATTTGATACGACAGGCCTTGTTTCGATTTTCCTATCGAGGTCTCGCCATCACGCGGTTGGAAGATTTGGTTGATTTAATATTGGCAATTCTATCTGCGTGACCAAATGCATAGTTCCAATCAGTCGTAAGGGTCTAATCCTAGTATCCCGAGGTTGCTGGGCGAATAAGGTAGCGCTGGTTAAGCCCTACCTTTTCGATTTGGCTAATCCCTCGAATTCTCTCGTGAGTAGGATGGGCGAGTACGGGGATGAACAGTTTGCCATCGAAATTTGTCCGGTCGCGGGGACTATCTTGGTTTCGTAAAACTTGGCGGCGCATGACTCCCCATGTTAGTGGAGCTAAGTTTGCCCTCTGGATGTAACCGTTTGATCGCTCACAATTTCCACATGAGCTAATATGATCAGACCCTATAATATATCGGAATGGCCTGCTTCGCTTCATTCACCCGTTGACCAGTCCTGGGCGCTTCAAACGCTCAAAGCTGATCCGTAACCTACAAGGTCAACAGAGGCACGAGCTCCATACGTGACTCATGAGGCAAGCAATCCAACGCCAGAACCCCTCCAACATTGAAACCATACATTTTTGAGCTAGACCGCACGAAAATCATATTAGAAAGCACTCTAGCTACCGAATTCTCCAAGTATGTTTAGCACATTATTAGGCAACAAGAGATCACTCAATCATGGGATCCTTTAGATTGAGAATCTTAGGATATTTTTATCATAATCCCCTATGGGATTGGTATTAAGAGCACACACTCAGGAATCCCAGAATAATCAAAATAGTAGTTTACAATTGATCACAAGGAACGAGGTTTTTCTATGCCTAAGCTTTCCAAGTTGTCCAATTAAATAATTCCTGTTTATTCCCCTTTATTTTTTTCTTTATCATCGTGATGTCCATTGCTCCTTGAGGCCAGTTTTTTTAAATTATTTTCCGTCATGCCGTCGCACAACACTGAACAACGACGGCCAAATGCCGGTTAGCTCAATGTACGTAAACTACCCGACATGCCGAAGCCCCCAAAAGAGCCCGGCAAATTAAAAAGGAATGTTAAGAAATAACTACCTCTGCCAATCTTGAGTCCTGTGATTCAAAACTTCCACGATTTGGCGTCCCACCCACGTATCCCCGCAAGCTTTGATTTCTTCATTAGACACTCATACTCAACAACCGGTGGTTGTCGCCCTCCAATAATTTTCTATCGATTACTGTATTGGAAGAAATAGTTGCGGGTCGTGTTACGGCTCTTTCGGCATTGATTAGGTACTTGAAAAAATATTTGATAAATCAAGGGGAGTGAAATATTTAGCTATAGTGGTCTCTATAATTTATTTCGTGGTTTGTGCAGTCGAGAAATCTTTGCGAATAGGGAGTTCCTATCGAAATCAGCCCAGCACTGCTCCTTCTGACAAGAATATCAGTCACAGAAAAATCGATTGGATCGTTGGGAGATGATTGAATAGTGGCACTAAGGGAATATTGTACTCATAAGTTCATAGAGGACAGCGCCAATAGGTGTTCAGTTGCTGCCTTAGGGGGACAATTCTCAAAACCTGTAAGTGGTGTTCCCTACGAACCCCCGTCTCTCGCTCTAGAGTTTACAGAGCCGGTATTGAGTAACAAAGTCCCTACTTCGATGAAGTTTCCCGATCGCTTTCGCGGTCTGTATTGTCTTCATCTCTCAACACATTCCCCTATCACCATTATCATGAAGCTAACCACGATCAGATTAGATGCTAAGGTCGAATCCCTTCTCGTCACCAACACTTGATCGTGGAGAAGTAGGGCAAGACTGAACAACTGTACGCGCTGTCCTCTACAATGCCGGCAGTGAAATATTATCCTCGAGCCATTTTCAATCAAATGCCGCAACATCAAAGAAGTTGGCCTAAGAGGCAATGGTTCAAAATACTCCACCACGTCAATTCCTCGCTTCCAACGAGTTTGAATCCTACCTAAGTCTCATCAAGTCTACAAGTACGACCAAGTACATCCTCATTCCAATGACCACATATCTCGTCGAATTTCTCTGGCCTCAGCTGATCGCCGAATACACGCTCACGCCGATATTTACACCCGACGGAGGAAGCAAAGCGTGGCTCACAAATCTGGGAGACAGTTCTTTGGGATGGACGTGAGAGGGATCAGGACAAGTTAACAAGATGATGCAAAGGAAGGATATAACCTCGATGGGCGCGAAATTTCGAATTTTGGCAAGGAGTTTTTACAAGTTGAGCTTTGTGCGCGCTTAGACTTCGCTTGCGAGAGTGCAGCTGACACTATAAACACAAGCAAACGATGGAAGGTGTTGTGATCCGCCTCCTGGTGGTGTTCTCTGGTATAGTTCGAGTAGCCCGGGTACCTACTCAACTTGGAAAGGAAACACCTCAGACCAAATTTCGCGCTGAGAAAAGTCAATGAATGATGGATACATGTCTAGATAACTTGAGGTTTTTGAGACGTTTCTCTCGGAGGGTATCCATGGACGAGAGTTGATTTGGTGTAAAGAAAACGCCAACACGGCGTCGTAGTGTTACTTGAAAATGAAATCCAAGGCACAAGTGCTCCTCTACCAAACTGAGTTAATCATTCTATATCATATTTTTGATACTGCGTCACAGTTAGGTAGCTACATTCGCAGCTCAAACCTGATACAAAAAAAACAACAAACCTCACAAGATGACATTCGCAACCCCAACACACTATTTCCATAATGAAACTAGTTGATTCTAAGACCCTTGGATAGCTCCAACAACTCGCTTGAAGACACCAAGTGTATACGACGATAAACACCACGACCCTTCAGTAGTGGCTTTGGAGTCTTCCTCGTTGGCTCGAACACTGGCAGCAGGATAGGTAGGTGGTTCTTTTCTGTTCCTGAATCCATCGACTCATATTTTGAGTCCATGAGAATCGATTCAGCTGGGGATTGGTGTCTGTGAGCGGCTACCGCAAGAGTGATTTCTTCCTGTACAGTCGGAAGTGATGACTTAGGTCTTGCTTATAATAGCCCTCACTAGTCATGCGAGCGCTGCAGGCCTTCTTAATCTATCAGGGAGCCCACTTTCATGATCTCGACCTAAGGGATACCATTTGCACCTACTCATGTCAGCTGATTCAGTAAGATCACATGATATCAAAACATGTATAAACCTCATCCTTAGCAGGACCATCTTCCTGTTCACGCCGAACGCCCATTTTTGGGCACAGAGGCCAGGTCGTACCCGTGAGCCTACTTGGCGTTAAATTCAAACACCCATACACCTTTTTGAAACTCGAATTTTCGAATCTTCCCTTTTTTCCCCTCTCTCATCCTTTTTCGCTCGTTGCATTCTTCCCTAAAATTATGATCCAGTCCCTGGCATTTCAAATAGCCACCTGTTCGGAAAATTCTTCCCAGCGCAATGTTGGACAACTCGAGATTCCGCACGAGGGCCCACGCATGAAATTTCAAGCATGTTTGCGAGTGAGGCCATCGTGAAAGGAAAGTTACAAAACCTTCCCGACAAGGAGATAACTGATTCTGAGCCCGTCAGGTCAGTAACAATTTGTCCCGAGGCCAACAACCCCTTCAAGCTTGCCCTAGAGGCAAGCAGCTCCAGGAAAGGAAAGGAAAGGAAGTCTTCCGAGAGAAGACGATAGAACACGCAGAAACGTCTGCAAGAAAATTCGCTGTGCTAGCTTCCAAAGGCATAGCTTCGACATCAGCACCGGAATATCCACCGGAGCTGCAATCAGTGATGGAGGCTGAGAAGCGTCGCACAACGCAAATCAAGGCACGTTTATCAATCTGTTCCACTGCAATAAGCAGTGTTGAAGCAACACTTTCGCCTCTTTCAAATGGCAAAGAAAAAGAACTTGTAGACGGCATCAATGTCTACCTTCGAGCGGCTATTGGCCAGTCCATACAATCAGGCCCAGGGAGCACTCCATCAGCTCTCCCTGCCTGCTCCAGAAACCCTCTTCTGTCGAGGGCTCAAGGAATAATGGTAGCGAACCCTTCGACGACCCAGGCTCCAGCCCAAAAGACAACTTGGGCGAATGTAGCCCGAGCAGGCCTTGGCCACAGCACTGGGCCATCAACGACAAAGGTAGCCCCGCCCGCTCCAAAAGCAAAGGGAGCCAATCCGAGGACAGCGGTCGACACACAACTGTTTCTACGCCTCGCATACAACCACCCCCACCGACTCCTTTCACCAACTGTCGGAGGATTAGCTATTTCAGAGGTGCTCGGTACCGCAGCCAAAAATATCACGTTGGTTCAGCGGGTCAAAACAGGCTTTGCACTCACAGCAAAGGATGAACTTGCTCTGGAAGCTCCTGGATTCCTCCGCAGCACGGAGGGAATCTGGAATTAACCCAAACTAGCATCAATCTGATTGCCTTAAAGACTGCCTCCGTCCCGCCGAAAATTCACAAACTCATAGGTCCCGTTTTCATCGGGAAAAGATGGTCGCCCACGAAGTTACGCGAGTGACCAAATCGGTTGTTTTTCTTGTTCGTCCTCACAAGACCTGCGAACCCGAGGCGCCATACCAGAACTGGCAAGCGTTCTTCCCTCGCGAATCCACGCCTCGACCTGGGTTCCGCCTCTTCGATGACTCCAGAGCTGCAAAACTCTTCCAACCTCGTCAAAAAATAGAACAGTGCAAACGATAGTTTGGCTTTCATGCCACTCGTGGTTCATCCTGCGCTCCGGCTCACTGGAAGTGCGGATCAAATATTCACTCTGCTTCTGTGTGCAAAGCTCCCACACCGTGTCGAAATTGCAGGGGACATCACTGACCGGATTCGCGGGTCTACGAAGCCAGACCAAACAAGTTCGGCCTGGCGAATAAAAATCAGCTCGCGATAATTCGCAGAGTCGAGCAAGAAAGGGTAGCAGATTACGCTCGTGTCAAAGCTACAGCCGAAATAGCCTACGAGGATATTTATGGCTCGAAGAAAGATGTCTCTATGTCAGACAGATCGGGGTTCGGAATTTTGCAATCCGAAGAGGAGGTTTAAGGTTATAGCGAGCCTCAGTGAAGTCGTCAAGGCTTCGAAAAATAAAGAGCAGGACACCGGCTGGATAAAGGGTGCTTGCGAGCTCATATTTTGCTCTCAGCGAAGGTCAGAAATTGTTACTTGGAAAATGTGACAGGAAAGGGAACGGGCGAGAAGCTCGGGATCCGGACCTAACTAGGACTTCTTCTAAATTTGATTTAGTTTTGCTGTTAACTTCTATCATTTCTGTGAAAGTTCATGCGGTTGAAATGAGTTGGACCGATACACAGCGATCCTTACCGGATCCACTGGTCCTGTAACGATAGCAGGACGTAGGGCTTTTACTTTAGCTCAGGACTTTAAAGATTCAACAACAAAAAAATAGAACATCTTCCAGTCAAATTTCTAAACGTTAAACGTATCCCATTAATCTCTCTTATAAAGACTGAGGCAAATTAGGTAGAAATTCGTTATTTCCAACTCATAAAATACACACTCACCGAAAGAAAGATTACTAGTCTTATCTTTAATTTTACGGTCTATTTGCCCCCAGCGTAAAAAAACTAACAGCTACCTAAGTAACAAGTGGCACATTCTATTGTTCACCATTTCTCAAAACTACCTAGGATGATTTTTGTACAAATAATAGTGTAGTAATGTTTCCCTTATCTTTTATGCACTGCGAGGGTATCTCGGCAGCTCATCAGCACCTTCAATTTTTGTTACAACAATTCTTTGCGTGTACCAGACCTTTTTATTGAATTACAAAACCAGCTCGCTTCCATGAAATCACCAAACCTTTGAATATACAGTAGCATATCTTACAGCAATGATTAGGAATTTAAAGGGAGAGAGACTAAATAGAACTAGTCTGACAAGATAAACCTCTCATTCACCTTGAATCTAGTTTTTTCAATTAAAGCTTGCTTCAAGTGTTAGCATCCCTGTAATAATCAAAGATTTCTAGGCTTAAACTTTCCTCCTTAACTTCAAGTTTCAATCGCCGCCATAGCCAGGCTTTTTTAGATGGAGTAGCAACTATTACCATCTATGCTCCTTCTAATTTAGAATATTTAGATAGTTCATCTTTCCTTTCCTGTCATTCGGTTACACACTTGGCTAACAGGTCCTACAAACAAGCGCTGTTTTAGTAGGTTCTAGGGCCGTTATCTTTCTGTGACTTTCCTATTCACTCTCATCTATTGAAACTGAATACTAGGGTCATCTGCTTGGCCTCAACCAATTTTTGCGAGTTTAATTTACCACTAGACCAATCATAGCTCATATTCAGAGAATACAGATCGAACTCGGTATATTCACTATATTCTTTGTTGATGAATACTAAGGATCTGTCCACCAAAGAACAGCCGTCAGCGTCATCCCTAATAAAGCTCATAGATAACAACACTTAGATTTTTTAAACCAGTAGGCATAACGAGATCTAAAATTTCTGAAAATGTCATGGGACGTTCCTGCTTTGACGGTGGGCCAAAATCAGCACTGGGATACCATCCCAAATAAATATGACTCCGTTTACATCACGAATGAAGATGCAGGATTTAATGGCGAATATGATAGAGGTTATGAAAATAATGCGGATACTGGTTTTGCTTGTTATAATTGTGGTCAAGAAGGGTAAATGGGAAAATCTAATTTTATCAGACCCCTCTACTAATACCTGAAGACATTCAAAAATTCAGTGCCCCGAACCTCAAAAGGCGAGAGATGGTGGAGGATGCTTTAGATGTGGAGAGAGCGGGTAAGACAAAATGCTTTTTGAACGTTATTAACTATAGTCTATGGGCACAAATTTACTAGAAAGTTGCTAAATATATATAGCCACAGGAAGTCAGAATGTCCAAATCAACCTGCTGAGACTGGGTTTTCTGGGACATGTCGTCTCTGTGGAGAGCAAGGTCATCGAGCCGCCGTTTGCCCTTCTAAACCACCCGAACTCTGCAAGAACTGCCAAGAAAGTGGACATCAAACACTTGACTGTCAATCACCAAGAAAAATTACTCGTGATCACTTACCAAGTATTCCTGAGGAAAAAGCTTGGGAAATGATTAAAATGGCTGTTATGGCACATGAAATAGATGACCTAAAGGAAGCCGTCGAAATATATCTCAAATCACAGCCGAATTTGACTTATTATCAACTTGAGCAGGCATTTAGAAAACAAGATCTTGGTGCTTTTTTAATTGCTACAGAGAAGGAATTAGCACCAACATATACAAATATGGACTTTCAAGGAAATCTTGATAAAAAGTACACAGTTAGTTGGCGTTGGTCATCAAGACCTGCTCGACCACGTGAAAAACAAATCTGGCCCAGCTCACCAGAAGAAAACATGGAACGCTTAAAAAACGCTGGTGAACCCACAGATCGAGGTGTTCCCAAATGCTCAAACTGTAATATGTATGGAATATCCTGAATTGAATTACAGGAGACTAATAATCTTTTAGGCTTGGCCACACTCGGAAAAGTTGTCCGGAAGAAACTATTGAAAATCCAGATCAACCATCGGTAACTTGCTACAATTGTGACAAGATTGGGCATAGAGTTCGCGATTGTTTGTCCTATTCAGAATTACACTATAACAAGATTTTTTAACTAATTTCTCTCAGGTCCTGACCCTCGACCAGATAAGTTTGCTTGTAAAAATTGTAAGGAATCTGGGCACTCAGCAAAGGAATGTCCTCAACCAAGGTCAGCTGATGGTGTTGAATGCAAAAAATGCAACGAAAGTATAGTCGCCTCAAAACTTACTGAAAAATGCTAAAGATACTTCTACAGTTGGACATTTCTCTCGTGATTGCTTGCAAAATAATGGGAGCGATAGTAAATGTTTTAATTGCGGACAAGACGGGTAGGGATCTCATCCTCTAATCTATCACACACTAAAATTTATTACTCAGTCATCGTAAGCAAGATTGCCCCAATGAGGCTGTATTAATATGCCGGAATTGCGATGGCATTGGTCATTTGTCTAGAGAATGTCCACTTCCTAGAGACTATAGCCGAGTCAAATGTCAAAACTGCGACCAGTAAGTTAAAGCTGTATGAAAAATATTTGTTTTACTAATAATTGTTAGGATGGGTCACACTCGTGTCCGTTGTACCGAACCAATCAAAGAGGCTGCTCCCACTTTTGAAGATTCTTATAATTTAGATATGAATAACACTTTTGATGGGCAAAATGTGGACGAATCAGCGAATATAAATGGTGATCAGAGCTGGGAACAAGCTACTAACGTTCAGAACTATGAATGGTAACTTTAGTCATGTTAATCGATTTGATAAATGTTATCTTTGGGGCTAGTCTAGAGTGTTGGTTGTTTGAGTTAGCTGCTATATTATCTTGAAACTATAGTTTAAAATGCCATTACAATCACTTTCGAGAACGCACAATCACTATTTCGAAGAATTGACCCCATCGAATTTTGACCTGTAAAGTTTTAGCCATGTCACAGGCATGATGGAAAGTATTTCTTCGCAAAGTTCTAATGATCGGAGGCATCCTCCTGGCAACAAAGGAGAAATCAACGCGTCAAAATTGCCCCAAGACACAGACTCGGCCCTAAAGATGTTCAGACAAGCGATTAAAGAAGACAACCTCGCTCCTAGAGCATTTGTGAGACTGTTAGGGGAGGCCATTCAAGCCATTGAAAGCCTCTGAAAACCGAAAGTATTTCCAATTATCCCAAAGGCTTCGCATGCAGAAGATACCACTACAATGACTAAAATCCTGTAGGAAATTCAGACCATTAAAACAGCATTTAAAATGAATCAAAAGTATACCCGTGGAGATGACCAATCATGGGCGAAGATAGCTAGGCAGTCTGAGATGGTTGGTACAACGATTAAGATATGTTAGGCAAAGTTATACTTATTTGAATCTCTCTCAGAGTTGATTGATTTGATTGTCCTTTATGAGAATAATATCGTAGTTCTTAAATACATCTTGAGATTATTCTCATAATCACTCTCAAGATTTAGACATAGACAAATAATACAATTATTTATGCAAACAGCTCTTATTTCCTTACTTTATATGGTTCTAAAATTGGTCATGTTTGTTCCCTTAATAAAAAATTACAAGTGGAAAGTAAAGCCAGGCATAGTACAATTACTGCAATTTAATTGGAGATTGGGTGACTCGATTGTAATGACAAGATACAAATTGCGAATACCAGCGGAATTATTTAAAGGAGAGTGGACATCTATTTAACTGCTGATTATAATATAAGCATGACTCGGCTGTAGCCAGTGACGGTTTAATCTTGTATTTCAGTTGCATATAGACTAACAATCTTAACGAATGTGATTCTTTTATTTAGATGTTATGATGTTTTGTTCGAAAAAATAATGGATGAAAAAGTTAGGCAAAATCTAGCCCAGCTAACAAGCGAAGAATTGGTGAAGTGAATTGGAGCCAGAGAAGTTTTAGGAGTCAGGTAGATGAGGAATGGGCAGGTGAAAGTCTTTTTTGCGAAACAGGCATTAAAAAACAGAATGGAAAAGCATCGAGACTGGACAAGATAGCTAGCAGCTATAGCTCATATAGCGAGTCACATTTACCAGGTACTGATGCACGGAATGCCACTCTCATTCAAGCCAGAGAACCCCGAACATATCGCAGCACTACAAGGGACAAATCAAACAGATACCGAGGGGATCAAGATACAACAAGCCACGTGGCTCAAGAAAGAAAATCAACTGATTAAGACTGCAGAATCGTCGATCTTATGGTTTTCACAAGTAGACCATGCAGATAAAGCTATTGCCAACGGCACGGTCTAGCAATAAGAAGTAAAAGCCACGGAGATATTTCGTTCAAGATTCAGTGCAATGCAGTGCTTTAACTGTCAGAAGTTCGACCATACCGCTAAGACCTGCACGGCTGAATCCAAGTCTGGTAGATGTATAGGAGGATACAATACCCACGAATGCCATGGTAAACAGGATACTAGATGCTGTAATTGTGGGAGAAAACATCCAGCATGGAATCAAAGGTGTCCAACTAAACTAGCGGCAAAGTCTAAGGCCGAAATAAATATGACTTGCAATCCGGGATACTAACAGGTATCGGAATTACAAAAAAACCTACAAAACGAGTGGCAATTGTTAGGCTCCAGGAAAAGACTAGCAGCTACATCAATTGTGGAAATAATTAGTCCAGTTGGTGCAACTAGCACCCGCCGAGGTTCTGGAAGGCTATGCAAGACTATCGGCCCCTCGGCCCTCGATATCTTAGGAACCTAAGCCTAATTGATTTCCCGCCCGATGCGCTGACGTCGTTCACCTAAAATACACCCTGGACTGTGACATGGGAGAACACTAAAGAGACTAACAGGGCACCGGACTGCGTAAGGGGTCAATGAAAGATGCAAATATATCGAACATAACACAGTATAACGTCAATAAAAGCAAAAAATTGTACAATACCACTTCCTGCAAGCCCTAGACTCGTTAAAGCACCATGCGGTGGCTCTACAAGAGCTATGGCTTCATCCAACAGGGAATATTATAATAAAACACCCAGCCTTTCACCTGGTATCCCAGATGGCCGCAAATGCAGGACATGTATATATATGAGTAAACACCTCGCAGTCACGAAGTAGAGAAAGGAAAAACCCCCCAGCAGCCTGCACACCAATAAAGTGTTACGGGCTTTACCCGGCGTTACAGTGACTCTAGGTGGAGGGCAAGACTGAACACCTGTACGCGGTGTCATCTACGAAAATGGGAGTGAAATATTCTCCCAGAGCCAAGTTCGGTCAACTTTCGCTATATCAAAGAGGTTGGTCCACGAGGCAAAGATTCAAATTACTCCACCACGTCGTTTTTTCGCTCCCAACAAGTTTGACTCCTACCTAAGTCTCATCAAGTCTACAAGTACGACGTAGTGCATCCTCATTCCAATGATCACACCTCTCGTCGACTTTCTCTGGCCTGGGTTGACCACCACCTACACGCCCACGCCGATATTTACATCCGACAGAGGACACAAAGCGTGGCGCACAAATCTGGGAGTCTGTTCTTTGGGATTGGCGTGAGAGGATTCAGGACAGGTTGATAAGATGATGCAGAGGATGGATACAGTCTCGACGCGCGTAGAATTTTGAGTTTTGGCAAGGAGTTTTTACAAATTGAGCTTTGTGCGTGCCAAGACTTCGGTTGCGAGAGTGCATGCGACACTATAAACACCGCTGTGGTTGGATGGCGCGGTGGCACATCGTCTTGGCCGGTCTGCCAAGTAGAGTCTGGATAGCTTGGACACATATCCCACTCGAGAAAGTAGATCGCTGGTTCAAATCCGGCAAAACACAACCACTTATCTCGCGGCGCTGGTATACATGGATGACGAAGGCATGCTTGGATAATCAAAGGTTTTGAAATTTCCTTTGGTAGGTAGTTACGGAGGAGGGTCGACTGTTTGTGCAAGCAAGCATACCTCATAATGGTATTTGCGAATGAAATCCAGAGTATGAGTGTCTCTGACGTCAAAAGAGTCATTCAACATGTATACATAGCACCGGTCATGTGTCATAGCTAGATAGCTGAATACCCATCAGATGATTTAAATAAATAAAACAATCTCTACTTCATCGATAAAGATCTCATCTAATGGTTGACTTGGTGTTGGAAATGGCGGCTCTCTCTCTCTGTCCCAGCGGTTTGATATATAACACATGGTCGATCGTCTCTAATCTTACTACCGGTTCATTGTCTTTGGTTCGTATCAATAATTCGTTAGCATTAGCTGCAACAATAACATGTTGGTCCTTTAATTTTCCCGCTGAGATAATGTTGCATGTGGAGTTGGGTGAAAGAAGTGATTCATCAAGCTCCAATGATTGACTACCAATCCTTACAAGATTGGTTCCCTGATATGTCAACACTGAATTTCCCACAGCTTGATCAAACCTGAAGGGTTTTCGCAATTTATTCAGCGTGGTGAAGTCACTTTTGTGACGAATAAAGTGGTGCGAGGCACCAGTGTCGGACAGTAGAGGGGTTTTGATTAAACTAGCTGTTGTAGCCCTAGCTAGTCTGCAACTCAATATTCCTTCGCTTTCACTGTCTTCATCGCTGCTCCAAATTGCGACTCTCACACTTGGATTCTCCTTCGCTTTTCCCTTTCTCGACTTTCTCTCCTGCCTCAACTCTGGGTGCTGCTTAAAACAATTTTTGTTTTTATATTGGTGAGTACACAGTACACAGTAGTAATTCAGGCCCCCAACAGCTTTCTTCTTCTTCCCTCCATCGTTCCTCTCTCCCTCACCAGTCATCAACATCACCTGCCCCGACGACTTTCCTTTAGATTGTCCAACCTGACGAAGCGTTGACATCATCGGCTCGAGCAGCAAGTACTTATTCATTCCGTCTAGGATCTTGGTCTGTCTCCAAGCATCCAACCAATCAATACTCTCAATTCCCAAAACGAAAAGAAAACTTGCTAGCCCATGAGGTACAGTGTATGGATTTTCTGAGTCAGAAATTGATTGCTGGTGATGCATTGACTCAGAGGCACTGTTAACGCTCAATTAGTGCTGCATAAACTTGTCGCAATACTCTTCGATTGTCGTGAAGCTTGTGTTGATTAAATTTCTGACGGCACTCTCATATGGTGTGGCCGCGCTTTCCTCTCGAGTCGTCGCTATTGTGTCGAATATTTGCTTCGCTGACATTCGCCGAAAATTCTGAGGACTAACACTTGGACTTAGCCGTCGGAGCAGGATATTTTTTGCCTCGATTTCTCTCTCTTTCCACCTCGCAAGATCCTCCGCGTACTTCACCGAGGTCTTGCACAACTGGTCTTCGGTTTGATTTTCTCCCCTAATCGGTTCACTAGGTCGTTGTGCCGGTTGAATTTCCTCGAAGTCATGAAATACGTGGGCTAACCGACCTTTCCTGATCAGGGCCACCTGGAGATCCGATTCCCAGTCGACAAAGCTTACTCCAGGAGTCAAAACGATTGCTGAGCTTTTATTCATGTTGTGAGGTGGTATAAATCTTTGGAGAAGTTATGATGACTGTTCTAAAGCATTACCGAGGTGCCATAGAGAAGAAATTCGGGCTCATAACCTGTTATATCAACGAGACCTACTGTGAGCATAACTTCTCCAAGAGTATGCATCGTCCTGCTCCTATATAGCCTAGTAAATATAACAACGAGGCTTAGAGGCAGCGTTAGAAATTGGAGGTAGAATAGATATCAAGGTACTCCTTGACAATCAAGAGGCGGTCAGAGCCCTTTAAAATGGTAGAAC